AATCAATGTTACAACCCCACCTAAGTAATCCTTCCTAACCGAAAACTCCATTCAGAATTTCAACAAACATTTCATGAGATCGGTCACGCGCTGTATCTGCTTTGCATGCCCCATTTTTATCCACTGTGGATGGGGGCCTATTTGCTGAAAATTTTGGAAGGACACTTGCGAAATGAGATCTATCGTGCTCCCTCTCTCCCTCTCCCTCTCTCTAACACAGGCGAAAGAACGAATGATGTTATATAAATGCGACTGACAAGCAGAGAAGGCCTCGATGATTCCGGCTAGATCAGGCATGATCGCAGCCGAACCATGGAGAAGAAGAAGAAGAAGAAGACATGAGGGACAGCCCTACACACTTCCTGTCAAGCTGGGTCACACGAAATTCATAGATCTCAGACCTCAATTAAATCACCATTAAAATATCAGACTGAGCCCCGAAGACGAGACTGAACCTTTACGAGATCGTGCTACATTTGGACACAAGATTGCATTTTGCATTGGAGTAGGATAAAATACGGTGCCCTCTTAGGATTGGACATGTCTTCATTGATATTGCATCCACAGTTAAATAGTGTTACAGGTCGATGCGCCCTGTCTTTCTGGACAAATTGCACATTTATCTGCACTTATGCTGTACCACATAATACAGAGGCATTTGTACGGGCATTTTGCAATTTTAAAAATCCACCTACAGTTTCTCCTATCGGAATCATTGTAGAAAGTGCATGTTCAATACCCATGAAATTCGTGGACGCTGAGGACTTCTCGTCTCCTTCCTCCTTCCGAATTGGCCTCAGCAGGGCTCGCCGCAAAAATCAAATGTTTGGTACCTACGAGGAGGCACTTTCCGTCAGCATCCGCTATCTACGCCAAGCGCCTACGAGTCAACAATATCCTGCTCCCTCCCTCCCACCCTTGTCTCCTCCATCACTGAATACGACGTCTTGAGAGAAATGCTTGCTCTCCATGGCGGCTTCGTGATTCGTGTATTTACAAACTGATGTAGATATAGATCTGGATACACCTTGAAAGTCGCATGCGGAAATACGATATACAACTGACGCAGATGCCGTCGACCACAATACGTAGCCAATTTGTACACTCTGAAGATTGGGTGGGGATGCTAGCATACAGAGACCGCTCATTGGCACGCACGTCAGAAAAGTATTGCTTTTAAGGCACGTCTGGTGAGTGAAATGTCTTGCACAGACCTATGTCCCACAAGGTCCTGGGATTCAATAGCCTTCGATGTTTTCATTGATCATTGATGACGGACCGGAGTGAGAGTTTGAGACGTCGCAGTAGTATCATGCTAGATCTGGGTCTTTTCTCCTGCAAATATCTTACCTGGCTTGCAGGTAGTTACACATATCACGCCTGTAGATAAGGATAAAACGGACAGTCAATCTGTCGGCCGTATTCTCCAGAATGACGGCCCGAAGTGAAATCTGTCCGGATAATGACAGGCAGTTATGCACTACCTGGACTTCCTGCGAAAATTGTAGCAAAGGGCAGTTTTTCTGAATGATGGAAAGCAGATCAGTGCCTTACATCAGTATGAATGTAATCTTTGAGCACTTTGTGCAAAAGGAGGATTTCGCCCGGTCGTCGCTCACGATCATTCATTTCTGAATGCTTGCTTGCGGAGATAATGCTGCATGAGGGTACTGTGTGACGGCTACACGACAAAGCCTTCGTGCTGTGTGCACACTGGTGTAAACTATGCATGGCAAAGGTGTCTGACGTCTGTTGACAACGTAATTATCTCCGTCCCCATCATCCATCCCTTCCTGCCTGCAGGTTTACCGCGATGGACTCTCATTCGTCGGACTGCGTTCTCAGCATTCCACCCTCAGCCCGCGACTGGAGTGATCCCGAGGTACTGCTGTAGGATGCCAGACATGACGTGAATTTGATACAGCAGTTGGGCCAATTGCCCATCTCCTGCGTC